AGAGAATTTAATGAACAAATACTACTTATAAATTAGAAATGACTATTATCAAAAATCTGACATATTTATTTCTAATTTTTTTGTCTGTACATATAAATCTCTATTCTATTAGGATTGAAAGATGTATAGTTCTATATCCTACTTTTTAAACTTAACAGTCTATTGAAGCATTTCCCTACAGCATGAGATAGTCTCCAAAATATGTCTTTAAAGGCTACAGGTATTTAATCTGGTCACTATATCATTGTTTATTTAGCCAATCCTCTATTGTAGGGCATTTAGGTTGTTTCCAATTTTCCCCATTTTAAATACTACAATAGATATCCTTGATGAAATGTCTCCTGACATCTCATATAGTTTTTCCCTATTTAAAACCTTACAAGTGAAATTATATACTGGTAAGTTTTCCTGCAGAAAGAATATAGAAATTTATTTCTCACAACAATATATGGGAATTCCTGTTTTACTTTAAACCCCTGTCATTATTATTTATTTTATTATTTATTGTAAAAGAATTTTTGCCAGTTTTATCATTGATGTTTTTACTTGAAATTTTTAATTATTAGTAATGTAGCTTTTTGTGGGTTCATTGACAATTTGAATCTCTTCTTTGGCAAATCAAATTATTCATGTCTCGTTTTCCATTAGGAGTTTTTTCTTAAAATTTTAGAATCTTTATAGTCTAATGACATTAATCTCTTGTCTTCCGCATATACCACAAACATTAATATTTCATATAGAGAAAATTTTTCTTCTTATTTGGTTTTTATGCTTATCTAAAAGGAAGAAAATATTGACTTTTAGGCAAGGGAAAAGAGGCCAATTTGGGCATAAAATAGACAGAGGGAAACTAGGAGGAGGAAGAGAGCTACTTTCTGTGCACAATAAGTACATCAGTGGTTCTCAAAGTGTGGTCACAGAACAGCCACATCAGCATCATTTGGGAACTTGTTAGAAATGCAGATTCTTGGGCCCCACCCCAGACTTATTAAACAGAAATTGGAGTTGGTATTTTAACAAGCCCTCCTGGTGATTCTAATGCAAAGTGAAATCTGAGGACACTGAGATAAAGGAATTATGTATGTAGCTGGCTGCCCCAGTGCCAGTGAGTAATGAAGATGGGAGAAGGTCCCAGGAAGGAGAGCAGACCCCAGGAACCTGATAGCTTTCTGGGGGTAAAAGGAGATAATGCCAGAAACAAAAAAATCCTACACTGCTGCAGAGAAATCTTAGAGACTTTATAACATTAAATATTTAAGTTTAAATCGTTTTCTGTTCCATGCTGCTTTGTAAGTCACCTCCATGTTACCCACACCTTGGGAAAAGTTATAGAAATGACAGCCTGTGTTATTGAGATTTGAGGGCAGAAAGGAGAAATGGAGTACGAAGAAAGAGACCAGTAGCCCCACAAGGGAAAGCAGCAAGTGTGGATCAGATGAGGACTTATGTTACTTTATTTGCATACTAAAGGGACAAGAGTTATCACGGACTTGGAAACAGGTAGGTTATGCTTAAAAGGTCTGTGTCTCACCATAAAATAAACATTCACCTGTATTTTCTACTAGGTTACTTGATAGTTTCATTTTTTGTGTGTATAACCTTTTAAAATATTTAGAATTTATCTTGATACACCACATGAAATGATTGAAATCATTAGTTAATTGAGCACCATAACTACTCCTTGTCCTTCTGATTTATAATAGCATCTTCATTATATGGGAAGGTCCATTTCTGGTTCTCTGTAGTGTCCCATCAATCTGTCCAGTTCTGAGCTCACACTTTATTTTCATTTGTAGTGCCATAATATTAATATGTTTAAACCTTTAGAAGGCTCTCTCACACTTATAGTTACCCAATACAACACAGATAGATACCCAATAAATTTAAGATTTATTTTTATTTTCTAAATCTGACAATTCTTCTTCATTTCTTTATTTTCTTGTCTTCAATATTTCCTTGGCTATATTCACCCAGTTATTCTTTCATGAGCTTTTGAATCAGACTATTAAGGTCCCACAAACACATCTCATTGATTTTTTTTTTCTTGCAGTTTTTTGGCTGGGACTGGGTTTGAACCCACCACCTCCAGCATATGGGGCCAGTGCCCTACACCTTGAGCCACAGGCACCACCCCTCATTGAGTTTTAATTGGATTTACATCAAATACATAATTAAGTTTGGGGATAAATGCCTTTAAAAAAAAATTTAGTCTTTCTAATCAGAAACAAAGTATACTTTGAATTTAATCGAAGCTTCCCTTATCTTTCTTGGTGAATTTCTGTGGAATTTCTATTTGTTTTGTTTTCATTTTTCTCACATAGGTCCTGAACAGTTCTCATTAGGTTTACTCCTAGTTATTTGTGTGTTTAGGGGTATATACCACTCTTGTGAATCTTTTTTCAAACATATTTCTACATTTTTGGTTGGTGTATACAGTTTCTTCATATTTATTAGTTTTTTATTATATAAAAATACATGTCATTGTAGAAACATGTAAACAGGAAAGAAATGTAAAAAGAACAAAAAAGACCACATTCATTTATTCCTATCTACCCCCACACTTCCATTGAAAATCTCTCAGCAATATTTAATGCTGACTGCTCTATAGCATACTTCCAGGCATTTTCTATGCATTTGAAGTATGATATAAGTTACATTTATATAAATTTGTGCTCATACATAGTTCTGTAGATGTAGAATCTTATTATGCATATTGTTCTTAGAATCTTTTATATTAAGCCACCTTACTAAGCTCTTTTATTAGTTCTAAAACCTTATTAGTTGATTCTTCTAGATTTCTAGATAAGACTAATATGACATTTGCAAATCATGACAGTTGTCTGATCTTTATAATTTTATTGATTGGCCTTAAACAATTTATTTTGCTAAAATTTTCTGAATAATATTATATAACAGTGGCTATAATAGCACATAATTTTAGTACACTGCTAGAATGGGGATCATAATTTCAAATGCCCTGGAGGCTGAGCAGGCAATGTAAATACACAAAACTAATCTAAGAAAAATAATAAAGAATAACAAAGAGTATTTTGAACTGAGGCATTCACACTCCATCCATAAAGGAATCACACATTCATCTCCTAGCTGTTGCCAATAATAGGAACAAGGGCCCCTTATGGCCAAATCCAGTTTTTTTAAGCTCAATTTCTTAAAATGTTACCAGTTAATTTAACTTTTTAAAACCATACAATTAAAAAAAAATATGTCTGGGGTTCTATTTGGCTTGTAGGCCCCCACTAAGTGACCTCTGCTCTAAGTTGTCTGTTAGTTTGTAACAGTAATTTGTTATAGGGTCAAGGAAATTTCTGAAGATACAATATTAAACGTTCCTATGACAGCTCACAAAACAGAAAGTTGAGAGAAATCTTTGAAGCCAATGTACCCAAGGTGGGATAAATCAGAAATGGTAAGAAGGTAGCCAAGATATTCCACTTCAGTAGGGTATATGTGCTTAGCTATGCATTGTAAACATTCCTCAACATATTGCTTTTCAAAAAAACTCTAAATTTTGTGGATTTACTTTTGTATAGTTTCCCATAATCTCTAGAATTTTTGAATATGTTAAAGCAAAATGCAAATTTCTCTGACTCATAAAACCAGAAAAATAATGAATATTGAAAGGCATATACAGCTGTGAGGAAAATTTTATTTATTTATTTATTTATTTTTGTTTGGGATTCATTGAGGGTACAAAGAATTACGTTACACTGATCACATTTGTTAGGTAAAGTCCCTCTTATAATTGTGGCCTGCCCCCAAGAAGTGTGCCTTACACTATGAACCCCCCTTCCTCCTCCTTTTTCCCCTCCCCCCAGTCCCTCATTCCCCTACCCCCACTTTGTATTAGCTCATCTACTGCCTTCATATTAGAATGAGTACATTGGATTCTTGCTTGTCCATCTTGTGTTGCCTTACTAAGAAGCATGTGTTTCATCTTGATCTGGATTAATACAAAAGATGTAAAGTCTCCATCTCTTCTAATTATGTGGAAAATCTTTAAATCTCAGCATGTTCATTGTCTCCAATAAAGCAAAACCAATTTATTGGCAGTACATCGATGGTACAAAAGAGACAGCCTTTGAAGCATTTCTAATTAATGAAGGTGTGACAATGAAAGTCATTGACAATACAATTCATGCATTATTAATTTAAGACTTTATCTTCTTTATATGGTGTGTTGGGAATTGTTATTTTTATTTTAGCAATTCTAAAAATTGCTTAGGACTATACTCAATTTATCTAAGATCTTTCTTTGACTACAAAACATCCTGCCCCACCATTTTAGAAAGATACGCTTTGCATTTGGGGAGACAATGTTATAGTGATCCTTTTGATAAAAATTATTGAAAGAATGACATAAATTGTGAACACTGTTGAAGAGTAAAATACAAATCTTGACTTTTAACTCTAGCCTTTATTCTACCTAGCACTGACTTTAATGCCTGATGTTATTCTTAAGGATATCAGGATATTCACCACTACTTCTGCAAGATCCCTGCAATTATGAAGATGTACATCTAACCCCCAACCCTAACAGTGACAGAAAACTTAATCTGAATAATGGATATAACAGTCCTAATCCTGATCCTAATTTTAATCACACAAGATTTAGCAATCTCTGAAGTCCCAAAAGAAGGCAGAATATGCTGTAAACAGTAGGGAGAAAACAAAGCTGCGTCAGGAAAAAGAAAGAGAAACCTGGGGGGGGGGGCAGAATGGAACACAGCCTATGAAGCTGCCTTGCCTAGACTTGTCCCCTTTTCATCAGCATGACCCTCAACTAAATCCTGAGCCAGACCCCCAAATCACTCAAATTGCAATTGGGACATGGCTCTTGGTACCTCCATCTGCCAGTCCAAACAAAGCTCCCTGTACTGTTAGGAAATATAAATGAAACATAAGTGTGAAAATTCCTTACACACCCTTGGCAAAGACATTCAATGAATTCTATATCCTAAAAAATCTTTAAACAGATCACAATGCAGGAACTCAACCAGTCTTCTGTGACAGAATTCATTCTGCTGGGATTCATCCTCAGTCCCAGGACAAATCCTCTGCTCTTCACCTTCTTTTTGGTCTTTTACCTTCTGATCCTCGTGAGCAACAGCCTCCTCATCATCCTCATCCATCAGGACTCTCGCCTGCACACACCCATGTATTTCTTCATCAGTGTCCTCTCCATGCTGGATGTGTGCTACACCACCACCACTGTGCCCCAGATGCTTGCACATATTCTCAGTGAGAAGAGGACCATTTCTTTTGCTAGATGTGTGGCCCAGATGTACATCTTCCTCCTCTTTGGGGTCACTGAGTCCTGGCTTTTCTCTATAATGTCAGTGGACAGGTACATGGCCATCTGCCACCCTCTCAGATACAAGGTCATCATGAGCCGCTGGGTATGTCTCCTCATGGTGAGTATCTGCACAGCCTATGGGGTTCTGGGAAGCCTGTGCTACACTTTCTTTGCTATGCACCTGCCCTATTGCGGTCCTAATCAAATTAACCACTATTTCTGTGAGGTCCCTGCAGTTCTGAAGCTGGCTTGTGCAGACACATCCCTCAATGACTTGGTGGACTTTATCATAGGCTTCAATGTCATTGTGGTTCCACTCTCCCTGGTTGTCCTTGTCTATGCCAACATCTTTGCCACCATCATGAAGATCCACTCAGCCCAGGGACGGATTAAAGCCTTTTCCACCTGTGCTTCCCACATCACAGTAGTCACCATGTTTGCCATTCCATGTATCATCATGTACATGGGCCCTGGCTCTGGTTCCTTATCAAATAATGGCAAGAAAATGGCCCTTTTCTACAACATTGCCACAGCCTTCCTCAACCCCATCATCTACAGTCTAAGGAACAAGGATGTGAAAAAGGCTTTTTTCAAATTGATGGGGTGGGGCAGGGCCTCAGAGTAAGGCTTTAAAGCTGAAGACCTGGGGAGCTGAACAATGTCAGACTTGCAATCACCAGCTCCTCAGGGACTCTTTCACAAGATCTAGAAGAGCTGGACTGTATAAAGATAACTTCACATTTGTCCAGGTAGGAGATCAAAAGGGTGCTCAGACAGTTGCAGTATCAATGGAGATGTCATTTTAGACAAAGATAATTGTGAAGGTAGAGCGCAGTGCCAGACAGACCAGGATGTGAGGTTCAATTTTACTAGTTGATAAGTATGTACATTTTTGCAAGTCATTTAAGGTTTGTAATTCTTTCTTACAGGGAAGTCATAATGATTAAATGAGATAATATACAAATATATGCTTAGTACAGAGCCTGGAATATAGTAACCTTTCAACAAATGTTAGTTTTAATTTTTTTTAACTTATTACTCAAGGATGAGCCATCAGTCAATCATCAGCCACCATCCTCCTGGGCTGTGGAAGTGACTGGAGCTCTAGAAAGTAAAGAAAAAAGAGGGGAAAGTGGAAGAAGTGGAAATACAAAAACTGAAAAGTGAAGAATTTTAAGATGGAAAAGAGACTTGAGAAAGAGGAAAGTAACCTACAAATTGTGCCCATTAGAGTTTTTGAAGTTGATTGAAATTATCTTGGGGAGGAGGGCTATTTTGTAACAGTGTTTTGTTGTACCTTTCAATTTTCCTTTTTCTCTGTTTTTAATAAAACCTATTTTAGAAAACTACAGCCTATTTTGGGTGATACCAAGGAAAATGGATTTTTGCTCATGCCTTCTGAGCTCTCCTTTGTTAGCCACCCTGTCAGTCAATTAGACCTTCTGGGAGACAGCATTCTAAGGCCTCTTGCTTGGTTCAGAAGCTGAGTTAGAGACTAAAAATTTCACTGTGCCTAATTCACTAGCCCTGTGCCCTCATCAGGCCTTCTGAACCTTTCTAATGAGCAGAAAAGGAATATCAGAGAGAACAACTCAGTCAATCCCAGTACCAAAAGAAGTCTGTTATCATAGGGCCTTAGGAGACTTCATCCTTGGGCTTGGGATCCACTTACCCCAGTGGCTGTGGACATTTCTCCTTACATAATGTGGGGAGCTAATGGCTAAAGCCTGGAAGCATCTGTGTAAACTTCCTTGCCTTGACTCAGAATTTGGGTATGCTGGAAACACATTCCTGCCCCCCCATCTGCCCAGAATGATTGTGTGATATGGGACAATGGCCCATTCTCAGAGCACATTTGGATCACAACCCACTTGCAAAAAGAAGCTGGATCTAAGGCCGGCTACTACTGGGCAGAAGAAGATAGTAACAAGCAGTGCTATATCTCGTGTTTTGTATCATGTTCTCACATATATAGGGTGTCCATAAAGTTCGTGTGCAATTTACTATGTTAAACTATTTTAGATTGCACATGAACTTTATGGACACCCTACTCATTTCCTCTTCTAGTCAGTCCTATGAAGTGAACAGGAATGATGACTCTTGCCTTCCACAGATTTAATTAATGACATTCAATTCTTCATGTGCCTGGAATTTACTCTGCTTTAGTGGTTTCTTGTCTTTCAAAACTCAGTTCAGTTGTTATCGCCCCTCAACTTGTTTAGAACTTCTTCCTCTGTGCCACCTTCACTGAGCAATTTTTACATTTGTGGTCTCCAAGATCTTTGGTGACCTCTAGGTTTCTGAACTTGATGAACAATTTTTGTCATGTTTGACCTCTCAGCATTATTCTTTTTTCACAAGTTCTTACTCAGTGGGCCTCGGTGGCTCTACTCTTTTTTTGCCTTCTCTGTGCATTTGGACATTTCTCATCCTTCTTTCAATCCTTTAAATGCAGTGTATACCAGAATTCCAACTTGGTTCATTATCTTAACAAACTCCAACCACACTCATGGTTTTACTTGCCTTAAATGTGCTGGTGATTCATAAGCCCATGTCTCCAAGTTAGACCTCTCTTCTGAGCTCCATGACAATACCAATAACTGTTCAGTAGACACCAACACAAGGATATTCATAAGCAATTGAAATTTAATATACACAAGCTAAATTTATATGTCCTTGTTGTTACAAATCTTGTCATACTCTACTATTTTGTATCTCAATGAGTAGAATAATCATCCACCCAGTTATCCAAGTCAGAAATATGAAAGTCAACCATCCAAATCTATTCTTTCTCTTTTACATTTCAAAACCAAATAGTATGTGTATGTAGTATGCTCAGTATATACAAATAACTAAAGACAAATACAAGTGACATTGAATATCTCTCATAATTGCAGAATTCAAATGTCACTTGAGTATTTCAAATGTAATGCAGTTTTTTCCTTTCATAAAATGTATATACATTTGTGGCATCCTCTCTCTCTCTATATATATATATATATACACAAACACACACACACACACATATACATAGTGATGCATTGCTTAATGACAGGAATATGCATTACTGGGAATGCATCATTAGGTAATTTTGTAATTGTGCAAATATCACAGAATGTACTTACATAAACCTAGATGGTAGCACCTACTACACACCTAAGCTATACAGTAAGCTATTGCTCTAGGCTACAAACCTATCCATCATGCTACTGTACTGAATATTGTAGACAACTATTATATAATAGTTAAGTATTTGTGTACCTAAACATAGAAAAGTGTACAGTGAAAATATGGTCTCATCTTATGAGACCATCATTGTTATGTGGTCCACTATTGACTGACACATCTTTGTGTGGTGCTTAACTATCTGTATATACATGGATAGATAGTCTATGGATTCCACCTTATTAAAATCTCCAATATCCATTTTCTCACTATCATAGTATGTTCTTTATAAAAGGAAAGTATTTTTATGTCATTCTTCATTTTCAAAGACTTCTCTGGCATCTTGAAGACTTTAGAGTAAAATTCTAACTTTTTAACATTCTTATCACACTCCACATGCACCCAACTTTGGAGGCCAAGTCAAATGATTTGAAGTTCTTGAAACACAAAGAATGAAAGAAAAGCAAAAGAAATGGTAAATAACTGGGTAAATGCAAGAGACAACATTACTTTCTCTTGAGTTTTTAAAAATATGTTTGGTGGTTGAAAGCAAAACTTCTAACATTATTTGATAGGGTTGTCAATGTATATAAGGTAAGACAGACAAATCCTAAAAGGGGTAGGATGAAGGGCTTATATGCTGATCAGTTTCCTATATTATACTAAAAGTAATAAAATATTGATTCTAAGAACATGGTTAAAAGTTAAGTATGTATATTGTAACCCCTAGAACAGCCACTGAATAGATTATACATAGTGACAAAAACACAATAAATAATTAAAATGAAATAAATGGTTTTTTAAATTCAAAAGAAATCTAAAAAGGGATAACAGAGGAATTAAAAACATAAAAATAAGCAGAAAGGAAATGATAAAATGGTAGACCTAAATTCAAATATATTAATAATTATATTAAATGTAAGTAATCTACACACACAAATGAAAGAATAGAGATTGTAAGAATTAATAAAAGAGGCTCGGTGCCTGTGGTTCAAGCGGCTAAGGCGCCAGCCACATACACCTAAGGTGGTGGGTTCGAATCCCCAGCCCGGGCCCGCCAAACAACAATGATGGCTGCAACCAAAAAAATGGCCGGGCGTTGTGGCGGGCACCTGTAGTCCCAGCTACTTGGGAGGCTGAGGCAGGAGACTCGCTTGAACCCAGGAGTTGGAGGTTGCTGTGAGTGTGGTGCCATGGCACTCTACCCAGGGGGATAGCTTGAGGCTCCGTCTCAAAAAACAACAACAACAAAAAAAAGAATTAATAAAAGAAATTGCTCAACTATATGCTGTCTACTAGAAACTCAGTATAAATATAATGTGTAAGAGGTTAAAAGTAAAGAATGAAAAAATATATCATGTAAACACTAATTTTTAGGTTTAAGGCAATTTTCTTTTTCTTTTTTATTTTTATTTTTTATTGCTGGGGAATCATTGATGGTGCAAGAATTGAATCTGTATATTGCTTTAGGAAGTATAGACATTTTAACAATGTTGATTCTTCCCAGCCATGAACATGTTATGTTCTTCCATTTGTTAATATACATTGCAATATGTTTTCTTAGGGTTCCATAATTGTCTTTATAGAGGTCCTTCACCTCTTTTTTATTTTCTGCATTTTTTGGCTGGGGCCAGGTTTGAACCTTCCACCTCTGGTACGTGGGGCTTGTACCCTACTCTTTGAGGCACAGGCACTGCTCCACCTCTTTTCTTTAGTATTTCCTAGGTATTTTCTTTGAAACTATGGTGAAGGGAGTTGTGTCCTTAATTAGCCTCTCATCTTGGCTGTTATTGGCATATACAAAGGCTGATGACATGTGGATATTGATTTTATATCCTGAGACATTACTGTATTTTTTGATGACTTCCAAGAGTTTTGTGGCTGAGTCTTTGAGGTTCTCTAAGTATAAGATCATGCCATTAGCAAAGAAGGAGAGTTTGACCTCCTCTGCTCCCATTTGGATGCCTTTTATTTCTTTCTCTTGCCTAATTGTATTGGATAAAACATCCAGCACTATGTTGAATAGTAATGACAACAGAGGACAACCTTGTCTAGTTCCAGTTCTATGTGGAAAAGCTTTCAGTTTTACTCCATTCAGTAAAATATTAGCAATGTATTTGTCATAGATAGCTTTGATCAATTTAAGAAATGTGCTGCCTATGCCTATACTCTTCAGTGTTCTAATTATAAAAGGATGCTGGGGAGTGGTTTAGGCAAGTTGGTGAACTGCAGCCAGCTTTCCACAGAGGCTCCCATCCAGAAGGAGAGTTTAAAGACAGAAGTTTAGTAAGTACGCTGATGGTTTGGAGCTAAGCCAAGAGAGAAGGTTGAAGAATGCACATCAGCCCTGCTGAGGTGAGAGATGCAACCCCAAGGATACAAACAAAAGGTACTAAGTCCATCACCAAGCAGACAGGAGTACCCTCCCCCACAAGAAGGGCTCACAGCAAACTACATACA